ATATAAGTTTCAGAATTCCAATTCTATCGGTCCAAACTCTACCGGTTGTACCAAATTTAGTACACAGTAGTACGAATTTCAAAAACTTCCAACATACCCCAACCAACACCCCCACAGTGATCCTAAATCCATTTTTCAGGATTCAAACACTATCAGTTCACTCACAATTAAAATTGTACCAAATTTAGTACACATTAGTACAAAACTTCCAAAACTTCCTACATACACCAATTCTACACCTCCACAGTGATCCTAATTCAAAATTTCAGGATTCCAAATCTATCGCTTACCCACAATTTAAATTGTACCAAATTTAGTACACTTAGTACAAATTTCTAAAACTTCCTACATACTCCAACTCTACACCCCCACAGTGATCCCAAATCCAAGTTTCAGGAGTCCAACTCTATCGATTCACTCACAATTCAAATTGTACCAAATTTAGTACACAGTAGTACGAATTTCCAAAACTTCCTACATAGTACACTTAGCAGAAATTTCTAAAACTTCCTACATACCCATACCCTACACCCCCACAGTGATCCAAATCCAAGTTTCAGGATTCCAACTCTATCGGTTCACTCACAATTCAAATTGTACCAAATTTAGTACACATTTCTAAAACTTCCTAGATATCTCAATCTTACCCCTCAACAGTGATCCTGGCTCCAAATTTCATGACTCTAGCTCTATTGGTTCACCTATAATTCAAATTGTACCAAATATAGTACCATTTAGTACCCATAAGTATTATTTTCGTAAACTGAATCCTTAATTGTACTAAATATAGTACCATTTAGTACCCATAAGTATTATTTTCGTAAACTGAATCCTGACCCCATTCCCACACACCTACAGTGATTCTGACTCCAAATTTCATTGTTCCCGCTCTATAGGATCACCCAAATCCAAACTGTACCGATTATAGTACGATTTAGTACTTTTCGTACACATAAGTAACAAATTTCCAAAACTACGACGGTAATTTTGATTTCAAATTCCAGGATTCCAGCTCGAATTCCAAATCAATTTTGAATTAATTTTTTAATAGACATTTTTACCACCATTTCTACTTCCACATCCTTAAAATAATAAAATCACTTTGAATGTCATGCTTTACTAAAAGCCCTTTTAATATAAACATGAGCTTGAATTTTATATAAGATATAGAATAATTTTGTCCTCTTCCCGTTTATGGCGACCTCAGCTGTTGCCATTTACATTAAATTCAAATTCAAAACTTTCCCAGGTAATTTATTTCTGCTCGCTCATGCAATCCGAATAATTGAATAAATATTTAGTGACCCTAACGAATGTCATAACAATCAATTAGGAGATGATTTCGAGATAATCACCTGCACCAGCAACATTTCTACAAACCCAACAAAAGCAGGAGAGAACCTAATCCCATATGGGGGAGTAAATGAGAGAGTAGTAGGTTCCGCATTTTGCGGTGCTCTCATTTATAATACCATAACAATTACAATAACAAAATGTAACCGCATGAAAACATATGATTTTTGTTTTCATTTAATGCCGTACTACCACAACAACAAGTACCAGACCGCACACATCTATAAATATAAAAAAAATACCCAAATCATAACAAAACACATGTGTTTGGTTCTGATGACAGGATAACACGTTTTGCAGACAACTCTCCGGGGCTGTAATATTTTGACAGAAGCACAACTATTGTTATCCTCTCTTCAAACTGTCAAAATTGCAGCAAACATGCGCTCTCCATTGTTGGGTTTTGAGAGCATTTGTCTTGTAAAAGCTTTATCGTGGTTCCACAGCCAACCCGCCTGCCAGGCTGTCCGCCTGTCCGTCTGTCTTGTTATTGTGTGTTGCTTGCTTTACACCGTCTTTATGATGTTGTTTTCTTTCTGTTTTATTTTCCTATTTTGTGGATAGAAAAGAAATCCAATAAAGGATAAGGGGATATTGAACTATATGACGGAATTTTGTATGGATTTCTTAAAAATAAGGATTTTAAAAAGTAGTCCACGTTCCATGGAACGGTTCCTTACATAACGACATTGTATGTCTGGAGAAAACAGCAGGGCATTTGGCTCCAGAACATCGGAATGGTACCAGCTTACATAAATCAACTGTTTTACATGTGATTACATCTGATTGAGTCACAAATTTCACCTCATACCACTCATTCGATACAGTGGATCCTATGTAAATGTTATTTCCCATAGGAAATGTCAATTATATAGGAAAATTATAATTCAGCCTGGCTGAATAGTATTTTCCATAGGAAAATTTCAATTCAGCCTGGCTGAATAGTATTTTCCATAGGAAAATTTCAATTCAGCCTGGCTGAATAGTATTTTCCATAGGAAATTTTCAATTCAGCCTGGCTGAATAGTATTTTCCATAGGAAAATTTCAATTCAGCCTGGCTGAATAGTATTTTCCATAGGAAAATTTCAATTCAGCCTGGCTGAATAGTATTTTCCATAGGAAAATTTCAATTCAGCCTGGCTGAATAGTATTTTCCATAGGAAAATTTCAATTCAGCCTGGCTGAATAGTATTTTCCATAGGAAAATTTCAATTCAGCCTGGCTGAATAGTATTTTCCATAGGAAAATTTCAATTCAGCCTGGCTGAATAGTATTTTCCATAGGAAAATTTCAATTCAGCCTGGCTGAATAGTATTTTCCATAGGAAAATTTCAATTCAGCCTGGCTGAATAGTATTTTCCATAGGAAAATTTCAATTCAGCCTGGCTGAATAGTATTTTCCATAGGAAAATTTCAATTCAGCCTGGCTGAATAGTATTTTCCATAGGAAAATTTCAATTCAGCCTGGCTGAATAGTATTTTCCATAGGAAAATTTCAATTCAGCCTGGCTGAATAGTATTTTCCATAGGAAAATTTCAATTCAGCCTGGCTGAATAGTATTTTCCATAGGAAAATTTCAATTCAGCCTGGCTGAATAGTATTTTCCATAGGAAAATTTCAATTCAGCCTGGCTGAATAGTATTTTCCATAGGAAAATTTCAATTCAGCCTGGCTGAATAGTATTTTCCATAGGAAAATTTCAATTCAGCCTGGCTGAATAGTATTTTCCATAGGAAAATTTCAATTCAGCCTGGCTGAATAGTATTTTCCATAGGAAAATTTCAATTCAGCCTGGCTGAATAGTATTTTCCATAGGAAAATTTCAATTCAGCCTGGCTGAATAGTATTTTCCATAGAAAAATTTCAATTCAGCCTGGCTGAATAGTATTTTCCATAGGAAAATTTCAATTCAGCCTGGCTGAATAGTATTTTCCATAGGAAAATTTCAATTCAGCCTGGCTGAATAGTATTTTCCATAGGAAAATTTCAATTCAGCCTGGCTGAATAGTATTTTCCATAGGAAAATTTCAATTCAGCCTGGCTGAATAGTATTTTCCATAGGAAAATTTCAATTCAGCCTGGCTGAATAGTATTTTCCATAGAAAAATTTCAATTCAGCCTGGCTGAATAGTATTTTCCATAGGAAAATTTCAATTCAGCCTGGCTGAATAGTATTTTCCATAGGAAAATTTCAATTCAGCCTGGCTGAATAGTATTTTCCATAGGAAAATTTCAATTCAGCCGGGCTGAATAGTATTTTCCATAGGAAAATTGCAATTCAGCCAGGTTGAATGGTATTTTCCATAGGAAAATTGCAATTCAGCCAGGTTGAATGGTATTTTCCATAGGAAAATTGCAATTGAGAAACTGAGAAATTCACATTCTCTAGGCTGAATTGAAAATGTCCTATAGAAATTTCTATTCAGCCAGGCTAAATAGAAAATTGTTCATTCAGCAATATCTAAAGGAAATTTGCAATTCCGCCTGGCTGAATGTGAATTTCTATAGGAAATTTTCAATTAATGTGGATTTCTATAGAAATTTCTATTCAGCCAAGCTGAATTGAAAATTTCCTATAGAAATTTTTACGCAGCCAAGCTGAATTGAAAATTTCCTATAGAAATTTCTATTCAGCCAAGCTGAATTGAAAATTTCCTATAGAAATTCACATTCAGCCAAGCTGAATTGAAAATTTCTTATAGAAATTTTTATTCAGCCCAGCTGAATTGGAAATTTCTTATAAAAATTGTTATTCGGCCAAGCTGAATTGAAATTTTCTTATAGAAATTCCTATTCAGCCAAGCTGAATTGAAAATTTCCTATAGAAATTCACATTCAGTCAAATTTCCTATAGAAATTTCTATTCAGCCAGGCTGAATTGAAAATTTCCTATAGAAATTTGTTGAATTGCATTATATCAATGGAAAATCAAATTCGGCTTAGCTGTATTATAAATTTCCTATAGAAATTCGAATTCAGCTGGGCTGAATTGCAAAATACCAATGGAATATCTCATTCAGCTAAGCTGAATTGTAAATTTCTTATGAAAAATACAATTCAGCTGTGTTTTACTCTTACCTATATTACAAAAATGACAAGTCTGTTGTAAGTTTCAAACACCCCCGCACTTACACACACTGTGCTGGAATGTTTGAATGTATTCAATCACCTTATGGGGCCATTCTTATACAGACTAAGAACTGTGTGTAAGAATGTCTGTGTGTGTGTTCCTGTATAGACAGGATTTTTGTTCATCGCTGTGAAAAGGGTAGGAGGAAGTCGTCTCCATATCCATATGAGAAGGAGGAATATGAAAAATTACCTTTTATTGGGATTTGCTGCAGTGGTGCTGCTACTCCAAGGAATTATGTAAAATGGTTTTAATTTTTTTCTTCAAAACTTTTTTCACTAAATTGAATTTTCTATATTAAACATTAAAATTATCGGCTTTTAATAATTTGATTTGATTTTTTTCTATATTTTTTGGCTAAATTTTAAGTTTTCACTTCACTAGTTTGATTTTTTTATTTTTGGACTACTTAAAATTTTTTTCTCTTCGTAGGTTTTAGATTTTTAAAAAATTTTCTTTTATTATTTCTTTTTGTTGTTGTTGTTGTTTTAGTACACCGTCTCGGCCGTTTGGTTTAGAGGGACCGTTTCAGAACATTGGCATTTTGCAACAAATTTGCCGTTTTCATGAAAACAGCAAACAGTTTGATGTGATTTTTATGAAAATTTATTAACTTATTTTCATAAAAAAATCGACGCGCTGCCATTTCTTTTCGGATGGAGAACGTCCTGAACGATAGCTGAATTTTTCTGTACTGATTGAAAATTTTTTGATACGCCAGCCAGGCAGAAACAGCAGCAGCACTTGCGAACTATAAATTTAAGCTGGCCAGCGAAAGAGACCCCGATTTCTTTGTTCGGTAAGGATTTTTATGGTCGTGGTTGTTGTTTTTGTTATCTTCTTCTTCGTAATGATGCTTCATATTGACAGTAGGAGCTTCACCGCTTTGCAGGATAACTGTCAGAATCGGGTTGCTTAAAAGAGCTTTTTGTTTGGTTTAAGGGGACAAAAGCTCGAAGGTGACAGCGTGAAAAAAATAGGGACAGTGGGACAAATCGGGGATTTTTTAAAGAATATTTTTGAGAGGCTCTAACAAAGGCGAGGCGTGGATTTTTTAAAGAATATTTTTGAGAGGCTCTACCAAAGGCGAGGCGTGGATTTTTTAAAGAATATTTTTGAGAGGCTCTAACAAAG